CTGTAATTAAAAAAAATACGTATAAATAATACTTCTGCTTTGTGCACATACATTTATATACTTTGCTATCCTAGAAAAAGTAAGATCATTGAAAATTAGTTCAAACATAATTTATGAAAGACATAAATATCATTTCAAAAGTGACTTTTATCACACTTTAACACAGTTAGCTTGTCAAGTTAGTTTTCGATGGCAAAAACAACTGTCAGTTAACTAGTAAATGAAAATTTTCCTTTAGTCTTTGTGTACTCTGGAGTCAATCTTACAAAATATTTGCATTTTTTTCCAAAGGGGAAGGAATCAAAACTACACACCAATGGTAACATTTTAAAATAACTCTGAAACAACAAGGTTACTGACTCTTCTAAGATATTTTTTTTAAAACACACACATATTAAGTGTACAGTTAAAAGGCAAAAGTTATTAAAGATAAAAGTAAAATTGTTCTAGCTTGAGTCCCTTTAAAACATTAATTTCATGTTCCTTATCACTTGGTAAATTTTGTGTTATTCAATACCTTATTTAATTATATTTTAAGAAATGAAGTTCATTAAAACTATTAGTAATATTTTAAGTGTTTTACCTAAACTGATAGCATACAGTAGATATTTTTTAGTCATATAAAATTTTCTATTGTTTTAGGAGGATTAAAGCTATTTCTATATGTTCTACCTATATTTGAGAAATGACTATTAGGATTAGGCAGCTAATTCAATTTTTGGTAGCCAGAGCTATACCTTCTAAAATAAGTTTACGAGCCTATTACCAAAGATTACTAAAATAGTACTACAGTCACATGATCAATTTACCATAGTAAAAAAAATAGGGAACAGGCATCTTAGTTAACTTGTATTGAAAATCCAGCCACAAAACCCAGAATACTTTGATATACTTAATCACAGTTAAATATTATATAGTAAGGAATAAACTGAAATTATATTTTCCATAAGCTCAAAATTCAAAATATAAATATTTAAAGCTATATTCCAGTAGCAAAAAAGTATATGGGTACTGTTTAATAATTTTAGAGATAAAAATCTATGAGTGTTGTATCATGTACCAAGGACTGAAGTAATTGCTTTCCTTGCTGCAGATGTTAAAATGGGCAGATTAAAATGGTTAAAAGCTGTATAGAAATGCAGTTGACACAGTCTATGAGATATTTCAATAGCTAATTTTTAAGATACTTCCATACCTTCTTAAGAACACAGATTTCAATTAAGTAGCTATAAAAGTACTAAGATTTCACAGTAGCAAAGGCATGCAAATTTGAGGAGAAATTTTGCTCTTGAAGGTATTAAGTAATGAAAGTATAACATTCAAATTCTAGACTAGGTTACCTATACATATTGCACACACACACATACACATTTTATTTTCTAATTTATAGTCACAGAATTTTGTTTCATTCAAAACTGTCTCTATAATCATTTTACTTTTTTGCAAATAATCAAATTTTCAAGACTGTCAAACATATTCCTCATATTCCACTGATTAAGTGCATGCCGTTTCAAGAAGGTGACTGAGAGGTAGTTTGTTAATTTTGTACACGGATATTTTGGAAGGAAATTATTTGTCTGAAATGCTGAAATGTTAAAGTGCTATATAATTAGAAAGCAAAACCATGATTACATTTTACATCACTTATAAATGTGAATTAGAATCATCCTTATAGTCTGTCTCGTGTACATGAAATATTAAGGAACTTTATTTTTAAGGATTTAAATATCTGGAAGTTGACATGAACATATTTTATAAGCATTTCTTTTAAAAAACAGGGGCCTTTACCACATGACTGTGGCAGAGATGTCGGGCTGTGCCTCCCCAGCTCCCTGCCTGCTCTTGACCCGGGCTGTCACAACCACATTCTGCCTCTGGGCACCATCTTAGTGCACCAAAAGTCCTGGTCCAGGGATTCCCAACTGAATCCCCAAGTGGACTATCACCTGACAGAGATGTCTCTGGTCCCCAACCATTTACAGTCTTAGAATTCCAGAAGGATGTAGCCGCTCATCATATTCAAAGTGAGCAATAGAAAATAAATTATCTAGTCTCTGCCCCTGACAGGCAGGCTTGAATGGTGGTGGAAACATTCGAGCAAACTACAATGCTCCAAAGTAGAGAGTGTATTTAGGAAATTGTATGCAATAGAGGCAGGATGAGGAAGGACTGGAATGGGGGGGTGGAGGGGATACTGGGGACATTGGTGGTGGAAAATATGTACTAGTGGAGAGATGGATGTTCGATCATTGTATGGCTGAAGCTCAAACATAAAAGCTTTGTAACTATCTCAAGGTGATTCGATAAAACAACACCCTAAAGGAAAGAGAGCACAAAAGGGAATGCCCTGCCACAAAGGCGGGGCGGGGTGGGGGGGATCGGGTCGGGGGTGGGAGGGCTACTGGGATCATTGGTGTTGGAGAATGGGCACTGGTGGAGGGATGGGAACTTGATCATTGTATAACTGAAACCCAAGCATTGAAAATTTGTAAGTCTACAACTGTACCTCATGGTGTTTCACTAATTAAAAAAAAAACCATTATTCATTACAATATATTGCTGAAAGCTTCCACATATTAATACACTATAGTGTTTTGATATACTTTCTATGAAGAAAATATATCAGTAATCAGATTTAAAAAAAAGCTGGCTTTAAAATTTTTTAAGACTGTTAATGTTTTGCTGTATACAATGATTACCTGAACGATATTATAATCCAGAAAAGAGTTGTTCATGAAAGGTTAATTATGAGCACCAGTCTACAGACCAGTATTTCCCAAAGTGGGAGATACCAGTCTTGCCCAAGGGTCCCAGAATTACCCAGAGAGGGTGTTAATGGCTCCAGTGGCAGTAATAGGGGGTGCCTTTTGATTGTTCATTTAAAGAAGATAGATTTCCTTCCAGTGGGCTGTTAACTCTTTTTCTAAAAGAAAGGCATGTAGATCAAGTAATGTTGGGAGCCTCTCTTATAGACAGTAAGAAGTTATGAAATACATTTTTATACAACGTTAACAATGAAATCACCTAAGCTGTGATGATGTGTGAATATCAACTTCTACAAATTTCGTATCAATCTCCAATTGTACCACATTCACAGGACTTTTTAAAAACTTTAAGTTTTATTCATTAAAAAGAACCTGTAAATATACTTACATCATGCCCATTAGCTTATCCTTTCTTTCCCTGTTTTCTTTTCTTTTTAATAATTAAAATGTTTTCCTTTAAATTTCAAAAATTCTAAAAATCAGTTTAGACTTGTCTGTGAACTTTACATAAGTGAATACTTTCTGAAAAATTTGTAGCTTACAAAATCATACCACATCATCTATCTTTATATTAAAGTCTGCATTGTGTCAGTACTATAATGCAGATTTTATTTGTAAATATTTGAAATACTTTATATAAATGTTATTAGCAATAATTATTGCTTTATCAAATACTGAAGTATCTTGTAGGTTTTGTCGGCATTTGGGGGGTTGGGGGGAGTTGAGTCACACTCAGCGGTGCTCAGGGCTTACTCCTGGTTCTGAGCTCAAGTATCACTGCTGTCAGGGCCTAGGGGGCCATATGGGGTACTGGGGATGGAATTCAGGTCTGCTGTGTGCAAGGCAAATGCCCTATCTGTAGTACTATAGCTCTGGCCCCCAAGTTTTCTTGATATTCGTTATACTTGTCCACATAAAAAAAATGGTGTGAAGATTTAAGAGAACATACTAATTTCTGTGTATCAATATTTTAAATATGTAGTGTTTATTTTAGACAGTAATACTTTTAAAAGGTACTAGGAATCAAACACAGAAACTTACACATGCAAAACATGTATTCTAAGTGAGCTACACTGCTGGCCTGTAGGGTGTAATAATTCTTACAAGATCACTAATCTTGAAATTAACTTAGAAAAATAAATAAAATATAAATATTTATTAAATACAAAAGTTATTATAAATATGTAGGCTAGTGAAGGAGTATGTCATCCAAAATTTTTTGACATAGCCACACAAAAGAATTCTGAAATTTAGTTTTTCTCCATTTACAAAAATTAATAATTAAATCTGTATCTATTTGTATACTCGGATTAGCTGCAGAAAATATTTGTGTCAATAAAACAGTGCTGTACAAAGCCTTAAATGTTAATTCAGAAGTATAAAATGAAACAAAGAAAACACAAAGTCCAAATAGAAGACAAAAAAAGAAGAAAATTCATCAAATGATGACTGGATTCATCTATAATGTCTTCCAAATTTTTGTACTATCAATATCCTATTATTTCTTCTCAGACATTCACAAAGATTTATTCTGTTTTCTCTCACAGAATCCTGTTTGACCATAAACCCATTTGGTAGTGAGATTTTGCCTAAATCATTGTCTTTTTTATAAAGAAATCTTTACTTTTTTCTTATGTTTAGGCATAATTATTTGAATACATAAAGTTAATAATATAATTATACTATCTATTGGAATCAACAGCATTTGAGAAGAAAAAAATAAAATTATATTTTTCTATTTGCAACCACAAAGAATTTCTATAGTAATGTACAAAATACACCAAAACATCAAATAGGTAGGATTAAATATTGATATATTTGATGATTAAGAATATTGTGACAAAATTTTCTCCTTTACCAATAAAGAACTCAAACTTCATTTTTTTTTTATTTATTATTTTTTTTTATTAAGTGGCCATCATGTTTGGTCTATATTCTACTTTCAGCATGCATCTCCCATCCTGAGCGAGCCTTCCAAGCATCCTTTACTTAGTGGTCCCTTCTCTATCTGAGCTGTCTTTTCCCCCAGCATATGAGGCTTCCAATCCATGAAGCAATCTTCCTGGTCCTTATCTCTACTCTTCTTGGGTGTTAGTCTCCCATTATGTTACTTTATATTCCACAAATGAAAAGAACTCAAACTTCTATGTATGATTTTATATAAGTCTGCATGCATTTCCTTGACTTCACCGTCATGGCAGAAAATTATTGAAATATACTATGTATAAAAAATAT